ATGAACTGAATTGGTGTGATGTCAGGATTTTAATTGGGCTAACAGGAAGCACCACAATAATTAATTGTCAAAATTAAAGATTTATGGGAAAATCCTTTGCTTCAAAGAGAATTAGAAATAATTGGTCAAGATGTTTTTAGAAAGGTCCGAGGTGAACAAGAGGGTAATAGAATAATCCCTCTTCTGACTTGCTATGTGTTTCTAAAAACAGTAAAAACACAACTTTATATTTTGAATATTTACTAATATTATGGTATAAGCCAAGAAAGTTACCTGAATATATATTAAGATTATATTCTTAAAATAAAAAGGCTTTGCTGATGCACAGCTGTGAAACTACTAAGCATTATTTTAATGAACAGAAAGTTGGAAGATGTTCCAAAAGGTGTGCGTGGAAAGTCAGCCAAGAACCAAAGATATTGATCATGGACATCTGTCAGTTAAAGAAGCTAATTAAAAGGGTCAATTAAAAATGCAGAACTTGTAGAATAAAAAGGTGACCCCTGCTGGTTAAAATAAAATAACATATCTTGCCAAAATAAGGAAATGTAAAGCCATAGGCTACTTTGAAACATTAAAAGAATACATGTAAAGTGTTTAATTCTTTAGAATGTCATTGTAATGATATATGTTTTTATATTTTGTATACCCTTAGTGAAAATAAGCTTATGAAAATGCTTTAAGAATATTGTTATACTTTTATATGCATGTATCCATGAAAAAAAACCATTTTTGTAATGAAAACTTCTAAGTTTTGTACTGAAAATTAACTCAGCCTGTGCATTCATTCAAAGGTGAAAGGAGTCTAGGTAGACAGCCCCCCAAAAGTAAATACATGTATAAATCAATTTTAATGAGCAGAGCACCTGAATTGTAGAGTTGACACATGGCCAAGTAACAGTCTGTTTGTCAAATATGTGATGGATGACTGACCAGACAAAGATATCTAAACTGAGCATGTGCAAATGATGTAAATGATGATGTAAAGTTGGGAGGAGCAAGAAGAGTATATAAGTCTGCTCTCTGTTTTTGCTCACTGAACATCTGAGCTGAACTTCAGCTGTAAAGGTGTTCCTTATTTGAATAAAATCTTTTTCTACCTTTACTGCCTGGAATTGTTTGTCTCACTGTGTGGTATATTGGCTAGCCATATGAGTCAAAGAACCTTAACGCCCTTAGGGCGTTGGCTTCACAATGATGGAGAAGGCCAAGAATCAGGAAGAAAGCTGAGAACAAGCCCAGACATCTGTATTAGCATGGGATAGGAAGGGAGTCTACTCTACCACAAGCTCCTATTTTATTTACATATAAGAATGTGGATCTAGTGGTGACCTTGAGTATCCATCCCAACATAGCTTTGTTTTCAGTGAACCTGGATCCAGTGATTGTCTAAAGGCATTCTACTTGGTTTCTTTCAGTGTGAAGTACCCTTTTCAGTTTTTGCCTGCTCACAGTTTAACTTTCTCCAATCCCTTCTCCTTTTGAATAACCTAGATAATTTTGTTATCATCAGCAAATTTGGCTGTTTTGCCAGCACCCCTCTTCTTGCGGCTCATTAAGACATTTATAGAACATGGGCTTTAGTTCAGATTCTTGGCCCAGCCCAGTATGAATTTCTTTTCATGCTGAGAATCAGCCATTCATTTCTGTTTCCTATCATAACTATACAAGAACCTTACCTCTAACCCTAAAGGTGGCCAAGTTTCCTTAAAACCCCTTCTTGTGAGGGACTTTTATCCAGAAGCCTTTTGAAAATTAAATACATTCTTTCCACCAGCTTTTTCTTTGTCTGTACTTCTGAAAAGATGTCTACAACAGGTGGTTGTTGCAGCCAACTGAAGCCTTCAAGGCTCAGATTATTTCTTGTACCCCGAAAATGCAAAGCTCTCCTCTTACTCCCAACAGGGATTAGGAAGAAAATAAGGCTGCACTGATAGGTAGGGGGGGGGAACAAGATGACAGGAAGAGCAGTTTATTTGACCTTTTAGATCCCAATGAGTTTTGCAATCAACTTTGTCAGAGGATCTTAAGCAGAAGCTTCTCTGGCTCTCACCTTCCATTTGTTCAAGGTGGGAGCCATGGAAGTTTCTGCTTAAGATCCTGACGAAGTTTATCACGAAACACATTGGGATCTAAAAGGTCATATAAGCTGCTCTCCCTTGCTCCTTATTCTTTTTCTCTCTCTTCCCAACAGGGATCATTACCAGAAGGGTGATGTATCTGTAAAGTGAACTGGCTTACCAAGGGACTCTTGCTTAAAGGTTGTGATACAGATTGCTCACCTACAGTCGCTGAAAAACTGTATGTCTTGGTATATCCATGAAGTACAACAGATGATCAACACATCACCAAGAGTTGTGTGCTTGTTCAGACAGCAGGTCTCCTCCAAATGCTTCTACCCTGAACTAGTCATTTTGATCTAATCCACAACCATGCCCTTCTTAAACTGTGGAAGGAGTTGTTGATTGTCTTCATAGGTGTCCTACCCCTTTGTCACATGGTGACTTAACTGAAAGCAAGGAAAGGCTACGTAAATGAAGAAATGGGGCTATATGAACAGGGTTGAGCTCATCCCTCAGTTGCTCCCCTTAACTTCTATATGATACAATTGAATGTATATACCTTGGGACATGGGTGCATGTGCACATGCACATATACACACAAAGACTGTTTTTTTCACAACGAGCTATCAGTCCATAGCATACTTGTTTTCTTCCACATGGCAAAATGAACATGCTCCAGTAATTACAAACATTTGTGGCAGGAATCTGCTGTTCATTATTAATTTGTGTATGCTAGACTGTTTTTTGTAGACATAGCCCCCCCCCCCCCCCGGCCAAGTTTATCTGGTCTTTCTCCGCTAAAAGTGCTACATTGGTGAAATCCGCAAGACTTGGCTTGCTTCAGATTGGCAGATCACACATAATTTCCATCTTCTAAACTGGGGAAGCCAAACAACCTTTGAAATATTTTTTTAAGGATTGCCTTGCTGTTTTGTTCCATTTTCAGACAGGCATCTAGGGGACAGTGAAGAAAAACTGCATCCAAGACATGTGGCTTGTCACTCCACCACACACCCATATTAAGAATCCATTCACATGAACACCTCACAATGTGGAAGCTGTTTTAACATACTGTAATTGCATGCTGCAGGGCTGTGAGAAAATAATGTGACCACATGGGCAGGGTTCAAGTCCAGTAAAACCTTAAAGGCCAACAATAATTTCAGGGTATAAAGCTTTCATGAGTCAAAGGTCATTTCATCAGATACCAAATGCTTCATATCTGATGAAGTGAGCTTTGACTCACCAATGCTTAAACCCTGCAAAAATATGTAGATCTTTTAAGGTTCTACTGGACTTGAATTGTTTTACTACTACAGATGAACACAGCTTACCACCTGAAATTATCTTCATGTGGGCAGATCTAATCAGAGATCTTTGCCAAGGAACTGGAATCTTGGTAGTCACCATGCTGTGAGATACCAATTCCATGGCAAAACCTCATCAGGTCAACCCTGTCCTTCTGAATACACTGTTTACATACATGTCCCTGAAGTATGAGATCACATTGCACTGAAGTGTGTAGCAGGACATACATGGGAAGAGGTTCTAATAAAAACGGGAACAGCTTAAGAACTCATGATGTTAAACTAGTGGTTTGGATCCGTGAGAGTATCTCCAGAGACAGACTGATTTCCACCCACAGAATGTAACTTTCTCACCTTTCTTCTTCCTCCCTCCTGCTACAGCCAAAAATGCCTCAAGGGAGGTGAGAAAGTCATGCCTTAGGAGCAGAAAATCAATCCACCAAGCCGATGTATGCTAGAGCATCATTTTGAGAAGTTTCACATGATTTTAGTAGGATCAAACCAAGGGGGAAAAGTGGTTTACATATCACTGGAACCTGTGTATTTTGTAGCTAGGGGATCACCTTACTTGGTCTTTTTTAAAAAAATGCTTGTTAGTCCTTTTGTGATTTACCTGCTGACTTGGTAGTCACATCCTCACGACAGCTTTTTTTGAGGGCTAAGAACCTTCACCTTTGGTGGCTGGTCATCAGTGATGGTAAAAGGCAATTAAGACTTCTTTTGGCAGATTATTTTTTGCGAGCTGCTCAGGAGGAAAACTTCAGGAAAATTGGCCAGCTTTGAGCATCATGTTGCAATACCTCACTTCATTTCAAGACCTGGAGCATAAGTAGAACGGATCTCTTTCTCTGTCAGACCCACCACCACGCTAAACCATTTATTGATTTGGGGCATTAGCTAATTTCCATGCTAGCCTGGTTCCAAGGCAGCCACAGGATGCAGGAAGTCATGAGAAGCCATAGATGGCAGTTCCATTATCAACCTGAAGCTCCTGTCAGCTCAGTAAGTACAACTGGCACAGGGCAGATTTTAGTGCTTCATTAACACTCTGATGAGGCCTGGCAGCCAACTGATTTGATTTAAAAGTTCATTTCCATGCTGTGATTTAAGGAAATGCTTGCTTAATGTTCTCTAACAGACTCTTCTGACTGTGAGCATAAGAGCTGTTTAACAATGGGCTTTATTTATTGTCATGCACTCAAGGTGCCAAGAAGCCACAGGAGGGGGGGGGGGGGGGGGGGGGGAGGTGCAGCCTCTTGCAGGTGCTGTGAAATAAGCTCCTCATACAGATCAGAACAAATCTGCAGGGCTACTGGTATTCCCTAACTCCCCCCTCCCCCCAACTTTCTCATCGCAGACTGAAGAACTCTGTTTTTTACCAGAACAAACCGCACTGTTTATGCACAGAGCCGAGCAGGTTAAGAGTCTCTGCCCCAAATTTTCTCAGCAGGGACAATGAAGACGTTGCTGGGCTTTGGTGGAAGTGCTCCCCTACCTTGTCTCCAGAGTGTGCTCCAGTGAACAGTAAGAGATGAGCAGGGAAAGGGTCACACAATCGGAACACATTTTCCCAACTATGTTTAGCCCTCTACCTTAGCACAAAAGAAGACAGGAGACCAAAGAAGGGTTTGTCATATTTTAATGACGTTGATCTTTGGTGTTTCCCTCATTAGCACACACTCTCCCCCTACCTTCCTGCTACAAGCTCACTGGGATGGAGAGTTACAAACGAAAAGGAAAATCACATTTCAGACTAGAAACAAAAATGTCAGAGCCTTGATTTCTCCACTAAAAACTACATGTACAAGGTCAAAGTTTCACATGCAACACCTTACATCACAGACACATACCTTACGCTCTGACATGGAGCTACCCCCCCTCCCCCATCCCCACCCCAAATAGGGAAGTGCAGCCTGGCTGTGGCACCATGATCCTGCCAAATGTCATCAGGTTGAATTAACATATGTTACTATTGGCACAGCAAGAGGTGCTAAAGCCCTGGGCAATTTCTCAATAAGTGCCATCTTTATTGGGGAATGGTACCCACCCAACCCACATGCTTTGCAACTACGTGTTGCCCCACCCACAGCAGCCCTTATAAGGTCCTGCTTGCATACAAAGTAGAGACTCTTAAACAAAAGGCTCACACTCCTGAGAGGTTCCTGAGCATGAAGGGATGGTGAAGCCCAAGCACAGCTCTCCCACCTCCCGTCCTGGGCTGGAAAAGAGTGGAACAGAGTCCTCGAGAAGACTACTTTGCCTTAACCAGCCTGCAGTCTTTCAAGCCACCCAGATGCTGCACATCTGAAGAGTCACCTAGCTCTTACTCGCCAGCAGCATGGGATTGGAACTCTGGCTGGAAGATAAATCCACTCTGGTAGCAGAGCTGGGGTGCAAAGCCCCTCCACAGTAGCACTTAAAGAAATGTACACGTTGAATAAGGTTGTAGGCCTCCAAAGGAGGAGACTACAGCCCCCTTTATCAGTTCATCTGGTAGGTCAAAATAGGAGAAACCATTAATTAAAAAAATAAAACAAACAAAACCAAAACAAAGAGTAACATTAAAAGCACTGCAGGGTTAGGGCAAAGCTTAATGGATTCCAGTAGCCAGTGAGCTGAGAAATTTACATAAGGCTCAGCTGAATATCAAGGTTTATTACAGCTATTGTAGAAAATGTGCAGCAAAACGGATGCAGGAAGCTAAGACACAGAATAAAACCTCTTCAAGAGTCTTCCTATACAATTGATGGTCTTCCTCTCATTTCCCACCCCTGTAAAACAATGCCCTCTGAATTACCAGCATCTGGTTGGAGTCAAAATCCCCCTACTCTTCCAGTTCCTGGTTAGCTGTGAGGTACAAGTCTCTGCTTAGCAGTACAAGGGTAGCACCAACATATAATTCATCTCTACCTGTTCCGAGATTCTCCACTGGTGCTATCATTACTATAGAAGTTGGTATTATCAGGAAGATGGTTGTTATTAGTTAGGTCACTGTACTCAATTGGTCCCTCAGTGTCCATTGAGGACTGAGCCTGCTCCAACAAGCTCTGCCCACTAGCTTCTTCTCCCTCGATGATATCATCAGAGGAGGTCCGTGGGCTCAAGCCACGCTCTGTCACCTGCATGGACTCTGAAAGGGTCCGTCCCTCTAGCTCAGCTACCAGCTCCTGTGAAGTGGATGGCTGAGCTGTGCCACCATCTGCTCCAGTTGATTCAGCACCAGTCTGAGAACTGCGGTGGATGCGATGACTCACAATGATGTTGTTGCCAAAACCCCCCATGGATGCCATGGTAGTGCTTTGCTCCCGCTGGACCACAGCAGTCATGCCACCTTCAGCCATCAACCTCTGGATCCTGGTCAGGGAATCCTCTCCAGTAGCCCCATATTCTGGACCACCTGAAAGAGAGCAACAGTAGAGTCTAGTATCCAAGGCAGAAATCTACAACATGAAAAACGATCATGAGATGATTAACAAGAAAAGAGGATGAGGAACACCAGCTGCTTCGAGAGGGTGCCCACCTGAAAACCCTAGAGTGTATTTCACAAACAGTATTTCCTTCCATAGTTTGGCACGGCCACATAGCATCAGCAGTTTTTGCACAATAAATACATTCACTACTTGTTGCGTAAATTCTACACATCCACCCTTCAGGCTGTACTATCTTGCAGGTATCAGTTTCTAAGCACTATACTCTGTACACAGAGAAACGTTCTCCCCCCGCCTTCTGTTAGAATTCCCGGGAAACAGAACCAGAAGCTCCATTCAGATGTACCTGCTCCTGGACTGTACTATTCAAAATGGAGGGATATTTCACCACAAAGAACAACCATTTCTCCCTCGCGTGCTAGATGTGTATGTGTATGGAAATACTTCTTACATGTAGTGCAGCATTCAAACATTCAGTCTCTCTCCCTCACCATGAAGTGGTCCTGCCCAGCAACAAGCTCACTGTGTGAGTCTTCTACTTCTCTGTCTTAGCTCTGGGACATGGTTGAGCTCAGGTCACAGGCACTAAAGGTATTGTCAGTGAAATCAATAGTGATTAGTTATACAGCTCCTACTAAGCCATCCTCATATCTATACCATTTTGACAACTTCTATTACTTAATGTATTTTTAAAAACCTTTGGTAGCTGTGTGCTTCCCCCACTGAGCACTCATTCAGTCCCACTTGGATAGGATCCATCAAAACAAGTCTAGCCCTTTCCTATCACATAGGGATGGAGCATTGTGCCATTGGCACCAGGACTGGGTCTCCAGGAATGATCACCAGTGTTGCTAATAATTAAAGCAATGCTGTCACCTACAAGGCTGCTTTATGCTACTCAGTGATAAAGGGCTAGCCTTTTCTATGGATATCTTCCCCCTTAAAACAGTACATATTGGAATATAAAGATGTTAATCAAAACCTCCAATGAACAAAACAAGATACCAACAGACTGCACTTTTAGCCTCTCAAGCCTCTCTTATAGTCATCAACACTATCCTTCTACCAAGAATCGACCTGTAAGTTTCAAACCAAACTGTCAAAACAAACTGTCCCTGCCAAGATCAGCTCTTATTTATAACCTTTCTGCCCCAGCCTTGATCCCCTAGCATCTTGAAACAGATAAAAGACTGAAGAGTTACCTTTTGAAACATCATACTGGCATTGCGGTTTGGTTAGGAAGGATCTCACTCAGGACTAGTTTCAAGAGACACCAACTACTTCTTAAATGCAGGCTCAAGGGACCCAAAACCATCTTATTCTACGTACCTACCTACCAATCCAATACTGAAATAAAAAAGGAACTTCCCCATTTTGTCCAAGAAGTAAAAAAGGACATGATGGACAAGCTCAGAGGGGAAGCAAATCTGGTGCAGCCTGGATGGAGTTGTCAGCGAGTCCAAAAGCAAAGTATGCATTTGGGCAGATACATTAAGTGGATACACAGGAAGCATACACCATATTTATGAGTTCTGATTACTTAGCAAACATATAACCCGTCCCCTTTCTTTTCAGATTGTGGGGAAAGTATTGCCTACATCTAGACTCTTATCAGAGTCATACAGTATGGAGAGCCCACTGCCCCAAGGAATCATCATACCCAGAAAAAAATAGCTCATTGAAGCAGCCTCATGGAATGATCAGCAATTAGCTCCTTCTCATATTCGCACATGAAGGCTGCTGAAGGAGAGCTCCTTATTCAATGGAATGTGCCAAATTGTTCCATGGAGGGAAACAGCAGCTACGGGCTACCTGATCCTTATTAAAGATATAAATCTTCCTTCCAGCCTTTGCAGAGTCATCACGACTGATTGCAAAACAGGAGTGGCCACGGACTTGCCAAGCAACAGACAAACTAAACGGAATAAGAGAAAGATGGAGGTTAAGAGGCTAACACTGGATGGAAAGTAAAATGGGTTAACCCTTAACACAGTTAGGGAAAACTTATGGAAGGAGATGGTGGCAAGGGAGAATCAGCTTTCAGCAATAGGGAGGTGGCAGCAGTTCCCCCACTTGACTCCAACTTCCCATCTCATTGTGGCTTTTGTCTGTGAGGCTCAGCTGGCCCTCAGAGAGGATTTTTGGGGACAAACAGGAGAGGCTGCTTGGGGAAGTAGAAGGGAGGGAAAGATCAGCTAACAACTGCTTCTGTGTGGTTTACTGTTGGATCTAACCTACAGAGTAAGCAATTCTGAACTAGGTTTATTTACGAGAGTCCTGAATATGCTAAGGAAATGGCAGCTCGTGTGAGGCATAATTAGAAGGTCTCATCAAAAGGAATATTGGGAAGGAAGGCAGTTATCTTATCTGGGTTCTTATCTGTATTTCTGGCATGCATTATGTTCCACATTGAAGGACAGAAGAAAGTTCCATTCAGAAGAAAATATTATCTTCAAGTTTGTCCCGTGCCTTCTTTCCAAAGCATCAAAACATATAAAAACCCCTTCAAAAACCAAAAAATGTAAAACTTATATGCTGCAATGCCAACAAATATTAGCTAATAGGAAAGAGGCTTCCAGCTTCTGCTGTAATGTCCAGTATTGCCCAGATCTCAGCAGATCTCAAAACAGGGTTAACACATTCCTTTGTCTTAGATACACTTGTCCTCCACTAGTCTTCCTGGTGGTTAAGTAGGAATGGCATTGGAAGAAACCAGTGGGACCAGCCTGGGCCAAGGTAAATATTTTCTTCTTCAGAAGTTACTGTGTCAGAAAGCTTTTATGTACAATTAAACTCCATCACTCACAGAGATTATGTTCTTTTGCCACTGAATGAAAGCTTTTCAGTTAGGAAATATTCAGGGACTTCTGCTTGAGACAATTAATTTCAGACTCCCACAGTCTTGACAAATAGTTTACAGTCAGTCTCCCTCCTTTTGAAGGACACATTTGAACCAGATTAGACCCATATACAAGTGTGGGCTTGCAAGACCCATGGGGGAATAAAAGTAAATAAAAACACACAGTTAAAAGCAAGCTAAAATATACATAAAATACAAAAATGTAGGACAGGAAGAAGGTTCGCTCAGGTAAGGGAACAAAGAAGTCTTCACCTACTGGTGGAAGATGGCAATGAAAGGGGACAGGGAAGAAAGCTCTAGAGTGTTGGTGCCACAACCAAGAAGGCCCTTCCCCAGGTTGCCATCCACCTAATCTCAGAAGGTGGGTGCACCTGAAACAGGGCACCAGAAGATGCTGGTCAGCACCAGTGCCCTGAACTGTGCTTGGAAACAAATTGGAAGCCAGTGTAGATGGGCCAAGACAGATATGGTCCCTATGACCTACTCCAGTTAACATCATATATTTAAACAGACTGAGATTACTCCATAAAGAGATGCTATCAGGTATTATCACAATCACTAAACCTGGAAGTTGGGCCCAGTTCATAGACCTTACTGGTACATATTGACACATTATGATAAGACCAAGTCATAGGAGTCTAGACTTCTGATCAAGACACCTACAAGGCACAAGTGCGTGTGACAGGACCAGCGAGTATTATAATGCACTTAGAAGCTCCACTGGTATAGAAAGCTGCAACTCAACTGCTATCAATGGAGTATGCATATTACACCTGTTCTGCAGTTGCTCCATTGGTCAATAAATAGTTTCCAGATTCAATTCAAGGTACTGGCTGTCACGGAGAAAGCCCTTCATGATTTAGTACTCATATTTACAGAACATCCTGTCCTGATATGCTCTGCTGTGGCAGCTTCACTTATCGGAGCAATGACTTCTAAAGACGTCACCATGCTAGTGGATATGATCAGCAGCTACACATACCTGAGCATTCTCTGTTGTGACTCCCACCTGGTTAAATAGCCTTCCAAATGAGGCCAGGAATGCTCCCACACTTGCACTATTCTGCAGAATGTGTAAAATGGATTTTTATGGGGAATAGGATTATAATATATGTCTATGAAAAAATTAGGCAGTTTTCATTGCATTGTTCATTGTACACATCAAAATATTTAATAATCAACATGGCTACATCTGTGATACTTAAGTCTGTGGACTGGGTCCATGTACAGACTATGGAGCCTTTTTTTGCAAACTTGGGGGATACCCCAGGTTTGCAGAAAAATGTGAAGCTCAGGCAAAAACGAAGGGTGAAATCCTCCCAGATTGAGAAACACTGTATGAGCATGAGAAGACAACACACTTCTATCGGAGCTGCTGTCTCGTGGTGGAAGCAGGCAGGGAGGGGGAGTGGTGGGAACAGTGGGGGGCAGGCAGAATGGGAATGTACGGCAGTCAGGATAGGAGCAGGAAAAGAAGTTACTGCCCCTCCATGTGATGGGTGGGCAGGAAGAGGAGCTGCTACTGCACCCCAACATGTAAGGGGGATGGGCACGAGAGGAGCTGCTGCCACCACCACCCCAACATGTGAGCCAAATGTCGAGAACAGCTGTTGCCACTCCCCTAACATTTGAACTGTGTGAGTGGAAGGTGGAGCTACCACTGCTCCCCCAACGTGTGAGCCAGGTGGTTGTGAGAGGAGCTTTTGCCCCTCACCTGTGAGCTCGGACCTGCCACCACCACTTTCCAACCACTTGAGGCAGGCTGGCCAGAGAGAAGCCGCCACCCCCCCACCCTAAGCCAGGCAAACAACAGCAATGCTTCAGCTAGGCAATTTGCCTGCCTGGCAAGTGGCTGGTCTGCTGCCAACTGAGGGGGAAGGAGGATGGGGATGGGGAAGGAGGATGGGGATTGGAAAGGGGGGACAGGCAGTGCTGCTGGCAAGCAGACTGGCTGGCAAGTGGCTGGTGCAGTGGGCAAGCAGCGGGCCGTGATTCCCCCATGCAACTTCAATTGGTGCCCACTTGTTATACCATTTTTTCCCTGTTTTCTAATTCTGTAATCCAGTTTTATTGTATTGTTTGTTGTATGTACTATACTGTTCTTATAGC